GACCATGAAGCTCACAGCCCAATGCATGTTGTTTAGATTAGATGCTATTGAGTCTGCTCCAACCCACAGCAGCCCCATACACACAGGAGACAATGTACGGTCCTTCGCCATGCTCACAATTGTTCCTATACCTGATTCCACTGCTGCAGCCACTGTGTCCATCCATCTCTTTGAGGACCTTCCTCTTTTTCACCTCCTCTCCACTTTACCAAACATGTTATGTCCTTTTCAAGGGACTGGTCTCTTCTGACAATATGCCCAAAGTAAGATGAAGGCTTGCCATCCTTCTTCTCTGGCCTTACTTCTTCTTCCAACACAGATGTTTGTCCTTTCAGCAGTTCAAGGCACTTTCAATATTATTCTCCAGCACAATTCAAAACTGCATCAATTCTTCTACAGTCTTCCTTATTCATGTCCAACTTTCATCCTCGCTCTTCCGGACTCTAAAGAGGTTAAGTGCAACAGATTTACCTCATGGAATATGTCATCTGATATCTTGACTGCTGTTTCCATGAGCAGTGGTTATGGATTCACGTAAGACAAAAATCCTTGACAACTTCAACTTGTTTTCTGTCACGATGTTACCTGGTCCAGTTGTGAAGATTTTGGTCTTCCTTACATTGAGTTGTAATCCATACTGAACACTACAATCCTTTTTGTTCTTCAGTAAATGCTTCAAGTCCTTCTCACTTGTATCAAGCAAGGTTGCACCCTCAGCATATGGCGGGTTGTGGTAGATCCTGATGCCACACTCTTCTTCATATTGTTCAGCCTCTCTGGCGATTTACTCAGCATACGGACTGAACAGGTATGGTGAAAGGATTCAACTCTGATGCACACCTTTCCTGATGTTAAACCATGCAGTATGCCCTTGTTCTGTTCCCACAACTTCTTCTTGATCCTTGTACAAGTTCCAAATAAGCACAATGAAGTGTTCCAGAATTCCCATGCTTCTCAAGGTCATCCATGGTGAACTATGGTCCACAAGGTCAAATGCCTTTGCATAGTCAATGAAACACAAAACCCACATATTCTGGTGTCTTCTGCTTTGAGCCAAGATCCATCTGACATCAGCAATGATATCCCTTGTTCCATGTCCTCTTCTGTATTCTGCCTGAACTTCTGGCAGCTCCCTATAAATGTGCTACTGAAACTGTTGTTGCATGATCTTAAGCAAAATTTTGCGATATCAATGGCAATGTTTTATAGTTTGAGCATTCTGTTGGGTCACCTTCCTTTGAACGAACACAAATATAGATCTCTTTACATTAAGTTAGCCAGGTAGCTATCTTTCAAACTTCCTGGCAGAGATGGGTGAGTGGTTCCAGTGCTTCTTCAGCTTTCGGAAATATTTCAATGAATATTCCATCAATTCCTGGGATTTGGTTTTGCTAATGCATTCAGTGCAGCTTGCACTTCTTCCTTCAGCACCATTGAATTTTGCTCATATGCTAACTCCTGACATTGTAGACTGTCAACTGGTTCTTTCTGGTATAGTGGTCCAACACATAACCACTAATAAATGCCCAAAGGAACCTTCAACCAATGGCATTGTTCACGCTGTGGGCCAACAAACCCAGCTCTCTGAATTAAGCACCCAGATGCACCTCACTCTGCAAGCCAGCCTCCTAACAAAAGCACTGTTTTCTCGCACCATGGGTTAAAGTTCACCACTCTGTTCCATTCCCTGGCTCTGAGTTCTGCCGCTACTCCTCTGGTGTCTTCTGGATCCAGGAGGCTCACTGCACAGAGACTTCAGGTCCAGAGGACATGCTCCACTCCTGGCTCTTGCTGGTAACGAGCTATCTCCTCCTGCTTCTTAGAAGTCTCTTGCTATATGGAGCAGGATGGCACTCCAGGGAATAACCTGTTCACAAATACTCACAGGAGAATCCTGTCAGTATCTGCCTCCCTCCATCTTCCCAGACCCATGCTGGGAAAGGGTGTTTGTTGGGAGTTAGAGACGAGAGTTTGGCTAGAAGAGACACTGTCCCTGCACTCACAACCAGTTTGTCAAGTACCTTACCAACTACAAATAAATGAGGAAATCTGCTGCTGTCATTTCATTCATAATTAAAATGGCTTTTCTGATCTTGGTTTTTAACTTGCTATCCACTTCTGTAAAGATTTGCAGTCACAGAAACCCAATATAAGGGGTCGCTAGGTCTCAGAATTGACTCAGTGGCAGTAGGCTTGGGGTTCATCAAATGAGAAATACAATCTTTTGTTCCAATTTGAAATTGGTTGAATACATTTTTAAATACATTTTCAACCAGCTTTTTTTTCCCAACCAGCTTTACTGAGGATAATCGGCATACAATAAACTGCACACATTAGAAATGTATAATTAGAAATGTACAATTTGGTTTTTCTCTTGCTCTCGCACATACAACAAAAAAACCCTTGCCATAATCAGGATAATGCCGTGTTCACCACGTGACAAAATATTCCACTCCTTTTCAAGATCAGGGTGCTGCCCATGTTGATTTTTTATTTTAAAAAAGACTTTTTTTTTCCTGTATCTTCGAAGTTTTACTTTTTGGATTTCTTCTGTTCCTTTCCCTTATAGCTCAACGCCATCTTCCCAGAAGTTCCCTCTTCTTTTAAATTTTATTGTGATAAAATATATATAACATACATTGACCATCTTAACTGTTTTTTAAGTGTATTATTCAGTGATATTACCACTATCCACTATTTGTACAACTATCCTCACTATTTTATAATCAGTTCTACCCTGTCTTACAGGGTCGCTATGGTTCAGATATGACTTACCTGCTTGCCCTATCAGGTATCTATTTTAATTATTTCCTTGAGGTGGGGTCTTGTGTGATTTAAATTTGCATCTCTCTCATGGCTGAGCCTTAATGGTGCGATAGGTTATCACTTTACTCCTAAGTGAAAGGCTGGTGGTTTGACCTCACTTAGCTTTGTGGGAGAAATATCTAGTGATGTGCTTCTGGGAAGATTAGTTTAGAAGACCTTATGGGGCAGTATTGCAACATGAGCTTGCCCAATCAAAATCTACTCAACAGCATACACCAAAAGATGGCGTTAATGGTTTGCACTTCTACTAACTAAAGTTCCACTCCACCCTGTCCTACTTTAGAAGATTAGACTAGGCAATATGCTTCCATTCAGGTGACATCCAGGTACACCCTCTGGGGTAGACCTGAGTGATAATCCATTTATAGTAATGAACAATTATGGCTACAGAAGTGAGCATCTTCTCATGTGCTTGCTGGCTGTTTGACTATACTTTGGAGACATCCTGTTTACATGTATCCTTTGGTCATGCGTTGAGTTACTATCTGCAACTCAAAACCACGAGTAGCTCCACGGCAGAAAGATGGGGTTTTCTACTCTCGTAAATCGTTAGTGTCAGAAACACAAGATCAGTTCTACCCTGACCTATAGGGTGACCCTGAGTCAGTATTCATTCAATGACAGTGAGGCTGGTGATGTCCAAGTCCTTTGTCTGTTTTTAAAACTGGGCTGCTTATTTTCTGTCGTTATAGACAAAAGAATAAATATTTTGGATATTAGATTCAAATACATGGTTCCTAGAAAATTTCCCCCCAATCTGTTTTTTCCCATTGTTGAGCTTTTGTGAGGTGTATCTTGTCTTTTGTTGTACTGTCCGATAATCCACTGTTAAAAATTAGGCCCTCAGGCTATCCCTCTCAATTTTCCTCTTGAGAATTTTGATTTTAGTGTGCAAACTTGTACCATTTTTATTTATATTTTATATATGGGGTGTGGTATGCAACCCAACTCATGCTTCCACATTTGGAAAGGCAGATAAACTAGCATAAGTTAAGAGGGTTGTCTTTCCCCTACTAAATAGATTTTGCATCCTTGTCAAAAATCAGCTGCTTGATACAAATTGTTATGGATTATTATAATAGCTGTAAGAGCCCACAAGAAAATGATTTTTTTTTTTTAATTCAGCTGCATTGGGCAAATCTGCTGCACAAGACCTGTTCAAAGTGTTAAAGAATAAAGATGTCACTTTGAAGACTAAGAAGCTCCTGATTAAAGCCATGGGATTTTCCGTGGCCTCATATGCATATAAAAGTTGGACCCTGGATAAGGAAGAGCAAATTAGAACATATATGAATTATGGTATTGGCAAAGAATATTAAAAGTACAGTACACTACAAAAAACAAACAAGTCTGCCTTGGGCAAAGTATCAATGGACTAATCCTCAGAAGTGAGGATAGTGAAAATTCACATCACGTCCTTTGGGGGTGTTTGCAGGAGAGAGTGGTCCCTAGAAAAAGACAGCATTTTTGATAAGGCAGAGGGACAGGGACAGATACAGTGCTGCAACAAGGGCTCTAGCATAACAGCAATTGTGAGGACGGCGCAGGATGGGCAGTGCTTTGCTCTGCTGTGCAAAGGTCTCTCTGAGTCAGATCCAACCTGATGGCAACCAACTACAAAGTAAAAATGCGGTACATCTTAAAAACTTCAGTCAACTAATTTATTTTTAATATCAGAAAAAAATGTAATGATAGGCTTAAATACATTTTTTGAGTGGGCACTATGTGAGCTTTAACATGTGTTCAGGAAAATAGAGAGTTGACTCCAGATGTATGTCTGTATTTATTTATTAAAGATACAATAAACTATTTTAAACGCATACAAAATTATAAAGTAACTATTCTTCTCAGTAAAGTTACCAGATATAATATTTAATGACAAGCTAAAACAGAGATATATAGGATGTCTTTTGTTCTATCTTAAAGTCATCTTATTGAACGGTACATCATAAAATCTATAGTCGTACATCTAGGAAATTTGCCAATAGAACTCTCTTCTACTGGTGTATATATTTTAATTTGTCTCATGTGGGTGTCTCTTCCATTTTGATGGTTGGCTAGAACAGCAATTTGTATCATGAACGTTCGAGTTGGCTTCTTGTGATTGTCAATTAAGGGAACATGAATCCAGCCACTTGGTTCCACTAATTCAAGTTGCTGTCCCCCCAAAAAAGAGAGAGATAAAACAAAGTCAGATTATGTGCTCGACCAATGAATACAAATTATAATACAAATACATCCTAAAACTGACAATATTTTTCTCACTGAGTGCGATAATAATTATAACCAATTAAAAAGCATTTTTAACCATGGTATATTTTTGGTTACTAAGCGATTTTTGTACCATCTTAGTGGAAAAAATAAAAACAGATGTGTACAGTCTTAGTTTAAAGAAACTTAAATCATGTTTACATTAGAAAACACATTTCAGCAACCTCGAAAAATATAACAAGTATTTTTACATATATTAATGCAAGCAGACGCAATATAAGAAGAGACTTCCAAAAATTCATGGAAAAATGGAGTTAACAGATAATTAACAGACATATGAGAGTAGGTAAAAAGTATTGCAACTCGGGCTCCAGTTTATACATGTATAAGTTTATTTCAATCAAGATGGGTTCAAATATGTCTCTGATCGGTGAATGGCTGCAGGTAAGCTTTCTCAGTAATACTTCTCTTTGACTTGTTAGGAAGCCTTCAATTCTAAGAAGAGCCAATCTAGGCTTCTGAAGGGATCTGCTGGGCAAGTTAAATTCAAGGCACAGAGCTCTGAAGGCTATGGTGAAGATTTTTAAGGACTCCAAAAGGTTAGTATTGATAAAATTTCTCAAAGGACATGGATGGTCATGGGGTGAGAAAATGCTGTGGGGGCCACCTCTGACCTCCTCCACTTACACAAGCGGGAAGGAGAATCCAACTTCACATCTGTCCAAGGATATTTCCCAGGAGGGAGCAGTCAGCTATTTCTCTGCCTTCCATCCTTCTTTCTCTGCTCTGACACGTCTCCTCCCGAGTCATGTTACTTCTCTCACTGGGCTCCACCCAGAACTCACATACAAAAAACTCCTGGGAGTTTATTGGCAAAGTGAACAGGGTCTCTAAGTCAGGACCAGAAAGCACTGTAAGGATACACTTGTTTTCTGTTGTTTGCAGCAGCACCTCTCCTCAGGCAAATCCCACTTTGGTCCTTAGCCCATTAGCCCATCACAGAGCCTTGGGCCTCTGCCTTGCTCAGGCCAGTGATAAGCCACTCCTTTAGCCTTGATAAATGCCAAAGTGCACCCCAGTCTGCAAGTCAGCCTCTTGTCTGAAGAAATTCAGCTTTACTCATTCTGTAGGCTGGGATGCCCGATGCTCCATCTCACGATCCAGGTGCTGCGGCCTCTGGTCCCTCTCCTGCTGCTCCACACTGGGCCACTGCCACCTCACTCAGGGCTCTCATGAGCACTCTGCTGGTGGCTCTACTTTCTTGATGATCATGTGACTCTCAGTTCCTGTTTCTGAAAGGGCTCATTTATGCAGCAGAATGGCTACACTGACGCATCCCGCGAGTTGGTGGGTGTTACACATATGAATGGAAGAGCTATACCAAGTAATTTCACTTCACAGCACAGTGGCTTACTAAGAAGAATGATAAAGAAAATTGAAAAGTGCAACAGAGAGAAAAAGGCCAGGAATGTTGTGCAAAAGAAGTTTTTCATCATCTCAATACACTTGCTCATTCTTCAAGAGTAGCAAGGGCCGTCCAATGAGAATTTCATTGGGAAACTTTGCCCCACCCACCCTCCAGCCATAATCTTGCCTTATCTTGTTCCCCAAACTCGAGAACATTTGAAAAGAACATGAGTCCTTCAGAAGGACTCAAACCGCTATACAGATATAATGTAATTCAAACAGCACAAAATTATTTGGGGAAGGGTTAGATGGATGGAAATACCATTTCAAAAGTGTGTATAGATCTCAGTAGAGAATATGTTGGGAAACAATGGCTTTGCAATTTGATATTTTTGCTTAATAAAAATATCTGTGATTTTATAGCAATACATTTTTATTTGCCCTCATACACACAAACACATTCAAACCAAAAACCAAACTTGGCAGCTCATAGAAACCCCTAGAGAGGGCAGAACTGCTCCTGTGAGTTTCCACTTCAAAGCAGTAGAAAGCGCCTTCTTTCTCTCACCGAGCAGCTGGTGGTTTCAAACTGCTAACCTGTGGTTAAGCAGCCCAACGTGTAACTGCTATTCCACTAGGGCTCCTGACACACACACCTTACATATATATAATTTGATAAGCAGTACACATTTATATAGATTGTTTCCTTACACAAAACTAATGCTATTGTGCAGTTACTGCTGCTGACAAAATAAAACATATTTCTGATTTTCTATGTTAAGAAACACAAATTCCACACTAAATAAAGAACACTCTCTTTAGTGTTAACAGAAATTATCTGAATGTCAAATCTAAACCTTATGAACTATTTGGGGAATTACCTAATCACGCTGAGCCTGGGTTATATATCATCTCTAATAATGAGATTAATGCCACCTACCTCATAGGAATATTGGAACTATTAAATATGATCATGTACATAATGAAGCAACAGCAATGCATTGGTAAATATTCCATAAATTTTTAAATAAAAAATTATATAAATTGACTCCTCAAATAACCAAAGCTATATTAACAAGTACTCTATTATAGAGATTTAGAATTTTTTGATGATGGCCTATCTGAAGATGGAATGAAATTATGCCATTTACTTAAGGGGGCTGCTAACTCTCTGAGAGAAAAAAAATCTATAAATTGCTCATTTTTCTCCAGTATGTAGTTAAGTCCTTGGAAAGGAATCAGACTTCTTGGAAGAAGCATGAATCCTTTAAGGTATCATTTGTAATGTGTTCCATTAGTATACTAAGGGTACCAAACAACAACTGTGCTGCTGTCAAAATATTGAAGACGACCAGGGAGTAACTACACAGGTTCTGAGGTATTGCAGATAACATTTATAAAACGAGAGTCAAATACTACAGGAAGCAATAATATAATTTAAGAGAGACTGGGTTGAAACAACTAATGGCCTAATGCAGCCGAAGGACATGGTTATACCAAAGGGTAAAGCAGCAAAGATGCCCCTAGAAACACCGGACCATTCAACTCCTCTACGTGCCAGGCAACTTCCCATTTGGAACCAAAGTGGCTTGGGATAGTTTTTTCCCTTTAACAGTGTTTCCCAAAGTGGGTAATTTGCTCCCTGGGGTAGGGGGAGAGGGGGTGTGGTAGTTACACAATCTGGTGTCAATTCAGGAGGATTATGAGTGAAGAGGTGGAGTCTAGTCTGTCAATTGGATCACAGCCAATGAGGCCTCAGTGGGGGCATGGTCTTCTCCTGAGAATTCTGGGAAATCCAGTATTCCTTCTTGGAGGTGGGAAACACTACCTCTCTCTAGTCACTCCCTGAGACAATGCTCCACTGACAAGACACTTGGCCCTTTGCCCTGTGAGCTAGAGAAGCCACATGGACCTACCCTGATGCAACCTGACCTCTGAGGACTGGGGGAGTCACGTGGATACCCCTGCCAGCCCTGAGATGCTTAAAACGCCAGTGGATCCAAAGATTTTCTACCCACTGGCCTGTGATTGCATGTGTTTTGTGAGTCTGAAGAGGACTTTGCAGATTGCTATCGGACATATGGGCTAATATAGGACTTATGGGCTTGGACTGGACTGGGTTGGGATGCTTTCCTAATGTACAATTACCCTTTATAAAACTCTCTCTTATACACATATGAGTTTCTATGGATTTGTTTTTCTAGTTTACCTGGACTAACAGAAGGGGGACTGGAATAATACAGGGAGGCGGCAAAAGCAGATACCTAACTTTATTCTGGATTATGGGCTATAGTACAAAAGTTTTTCATTGCAGAGGGTGGGGGGGAACAGAATCTTTTTTTTTTTTTCTGGAAAAGGATGTAGGCCAAAAAAGTTTGGGAACTTATGTCTATAATAGTTATCTTTCCTCATCTATAAATATTAGTATATACTTACATCAACTTACTTCCTTCTGCAAGGAAGAATGTTCTCTTAATTTTTATAACAGAAATTTCCAAATCTTAAACTTCTCATTTCGTTTTGCACACTTCATTTCCCAGTCTGTATCTTTCTTCTCAATTTTGCTTTAAGCAGCCTGAGGAATCTAAGCTTTTCCTTCAAGATCTTGAACTCTCCTGAGCTGAATATACATGCTCATCACTTACAAGTTCTACTTTCCAAAAAAATATTCTAACATAATTCAGATACATTCTTTGTCATGTTATAGCAAGGATCATCTTTCTTAGATTCCAATAAAATAGTGAATATTTTTCTTTTAAAGCTGCACCAGTGGCTTATCACTCTAATTTCATTTAAATCACCTGTAATATCCAAAATTCTATCAACAGTCTCTTCAAGGTGATTTATCATACGCATCATCCAAATTCCTCCAGCTTTTACTCACTGCTCAGTTCCAAAGCGCCTACCAATTTTGGTATTTATTATATCAAGTAAGCAATACTCTCTAGTAAAAATTCTATCTGTTACCAACAGCTGCCATAAGAAGAAAATTACCGAAGTGGGTGGCTTTACAAACCAGTTATTTTCTCATAAAAACAAAAACAAACCTCACTGCTATCAAGTCAATTCCAACTCATAGCAATGCTATTGGGCAGGCCAGAACCGTCTCTGTGGGTTTCTGAGGACCTAATGCTTTATGGGAAAAGAAAGCCTTGCATTTCTCTCATAGAGCGGATGATGGTTTCAAAGTGCCAACCTTACAGTTAGTAGCCCAACACGTAACCCTGTCACAGGAGGCAAGGCAAGAAGTGAATTCAGGGTGTAGATGTAGATGAAGTTGAGAGGTCCTGTCTTGTCGGTATACCAGGAGTTCCTTGAAGCACCTTGGCGGTTGTTTTTTTTTGGACGTGTTTTGACATGTTTTTTGACATGTATGTCTCCATGTCTATTCTACTTTTCCTATAACTCAGAGATGATTAGGTTGAGGACTCACCCTATTCTGGCATGACTTTATTAAGAAAACAAAAGAAAGCCCTTATTCCCAAACAGGGTCATGTTTATATGTAAAAGGGTTACGATTTCGGCATAGCTTGGGGGAA